GAAAGTAAGGAAACAACTGGTCCCAAACAAGTGTCCATAGCAGGTAGGAGAAAAAATAGATGTTCAGGTTTCAAACGTTTATATTCAGAAAATGAGAAAGCAATCTCTTTAGTATGTTAGTTTCTAACATAAGTAAGACTACCCCCCCCCATTTAAAGAAAAGCTCACAGGGAAGCAAATATTTAAACAGATCCTAAATATATAACAAGCTCACTTTCATTCATATGAGATACCATTACAGTGGTACCATAGCCCACGAGCTTAATTTGTTCTACAGTTTTGGAAAAGATGGCCGTGTTTGCATTTGTCTGGGAAAGATGGCGGTGGTTATGTCTGTCACCCAATGCAGAGCTTGCAAACAGAAACAAAACTTTGCCAAATGTTTCTGCTTGCAAACGAAAACATTTGCAAACAAAAGGGTTCAGGAATCAAGGTACCATTAATTTTTTAAATGATAAAGAGCTACCTTTGGGTTGAGGTTGAGGAGGAACCCAGGAACCCACACCTTGCTGGTGAGAATGAAAATAGGAATAATCTCCAGGAAGGAAGAAACCATCTAAACTAAAAACATGGGCTTTGACTTAGCAATTCCACATCAGGAATCCGCCCTACAGATATACTTTCATGATATTATTTGTAAAAGCAAAAAATGATCCAAAAAAAGCACCAGTTAATTACAGAATATTAATACGGTATATAATACTGTGAAGCTGTGAATTAAGGAAGCTACTTTGGACGTGAATATAGAACAATTTCAAGACACTAATTAAATGGGAAAAAGTATAAGACATTATATTCCATTTGTATAGGAAAAAAAACAACTACAATTAGTGGACAATGACTGTTGAGAGGAACCAGTGATCAAGGTCCGGAAGGAATAGTGACTTTCCACAGGATACCATTCATGCTGCCTCCTGAGAGTGCAGACGCAGCACCAGACTGCCTAGGTTTGAGTCCTGACCCTTCCACTTACTACCTTTGTAACCTGGCACTAAACAGGTAATCTCTCACTTTTCTGTCTGTAAAATGATGGTGTATGGCGAGGCTGTGGAGAAACAGGAACCTTTTTCCACTGCTGGTGGGAATGCAGACTGGTGATGCCACTGTGGAAATCAGTTTGGAGATTCCTCACAAAACTAGGTTTAGAGGTCCCATTCAACCTAGCTGTTCCCCTTCTGGGTATTTTCCCAGAAGATCTAAAAACATATCACAGCAATATATGTGCACCCATGTTCATAGCAGCACAATTTGTAATTGCTAAATTGTGGAAGCAACCCAAATGTCCATCCACCGAGGATTGGATAAGAAAATTGTGGTACTTTTATATAATGGGATATTACTCAACTATAAAGATAAACTCAAGGCCTTTATAAGTAAATGGTCACAACTAGACCATACTCATAAGTGAAATAAATCAGACCTGCATGTGCAAGCACCGCATTGTCTCACTAGTGTAAAACCTGAAAGAGTTAATTTAAACTCGGAGGTATGATAGACATTGTGAAATGATAGGAAAACACTCAAGGGTAAAGGGCAACTGGGATGTGGGAAGAGAGAAGGGAAAGAAGGAGAAATTTTGTATGTATGTATATACAGGATAGTTAACAGTTGTTCTACTGTCTTCTATTTCTTTGCTGAAAGAAACTGTCAGTGAGTCCTTGACTGATCAATATTGCATGTCTCTGTTTTCATGAGAAACCACTTTGAAGATATCAGTATGTAATACAAGAAGCATTGTTAATTTCCTACCACTTTGTTTGTAACTCTGTATTGTCTGTACTGTTCTTTTGCTATTTTGTAAAAGGTTGTCTATCTGTTAATGTTTTCCTCCTCTTATTTTTAAAGTTAAAAAAAAAAAAAGATGGTGTATTAATCAGCTTTCCTGTCCCCAGGGCAGAATACCTCACACCCACAACTCAAAGGTACGGAGGTTTCATTGGGCTCGCTGTTTTCAGGGAATTCAGTCCAAAGGTCGGCTGGCTACCAGAAATGTTATGATGGAAAGGCAAGATGGGAGAACGCATGGCAACTAGGAAGCAGAGAGAGAAGGGAGGGCCCAGTGACAAAAATACACCCAGGTCACGCCCACAGGACCCATCCTCTCTGACCAGGTCCCACCTTTGTGCGCAGAAGACTTGTGGGGGATACTTTCTATCTAAGCCATAACATCCCATTCCTGACCCCAGAGGCTCATGTTCCTCTCACTATGCAAAATGCATTTAATTCATCTCCAAGAGTTGCAAAGTCATAACAGTTCCAGCACTGCTGGAAAGTCCAAGTCCAAAGTCTCTGAAACTCAAGGCAAACTCAGTTGTGAGACTCTGAAACAAACAGAAAAATATTTCCAACATGCGATAGCACAGAATAAATATTCCCATTCCAAACAGGTTATAGGAACAGAAAGGAATTGGACCAAAGCAAGACTGAAAACCAGCAGAGCAAATATTACATGCTGCAGTTCCATGTCTAGCACCAGGGCAAGCTGTGATGTGAGCACCAAAGGGATCGAGCAGCCCCGCCCCAACAGCTATAGCCCACACGGCCTCTCTCAGGCCGGCTCTCCTTACTGCCTGCAGTTTTCCCCGGCAGATGTTTCATATTCCTGGCATCTCTGATTTCCTGGGGTCTTCACTGCTCTTTCCACTTCACTCTCATTCCTTTGCGCATCACCCTTTCAAGGATACAATGCCTTGCCTCCTAAGCCTGTTCTGAAATCTGGGTGGAAGCTCAAATACAACCCCACAACTCTTGCCTTCTTGCATATCTGAAAAACCAGCAGCAGGTGGATGATGGCGAAGTCTACCACGAGCTTGAGCAGTAGCCTGCCCCGTTGGACCATTGCTGCAGTGGACATGAGCACCTGAATGGTTGAACTGCAGATATTTCCCTGTTGGCCCTGAAAGGGCAAGGCACGCAGCACCTCTTCTCAGAGCAATGTCTTTCAGTTTTGCATTTTTGAGCCTGTAAAGGGTGGGACCTTGACGGTCCATGACATGTGCTCAAGGGGTCCTTCCTATTGTCCTGATGCAAACTACTTGGCTTCTTTATAACGCTCATTGTTTTAGCAACCAAGCTCCCCTAAGCGTCAATTTTAAGGTGCTTCCTTTCTGGCCAGGCTGCGAATTTTTCAAACCACATCTCAATTCCCACTGTACACCTGGCTAAAAACAGCCAGCAGTATCCACACCACAGCCTGAACAGTGGGCTGAAATTTCCTCCACCAGATCCATTTGCCCACCACCCTTAATCTTAGTCTCCTGCAAGTTTCCGGGCAGTACGTAGAATGTTCTCTGCCAAGATGAAACACACACGGCCTCTACTCCAGTTTCTGCTTGAGTCCTTGTTCCCAACTGAAACCTCATGAGGCGCACTTTTCACACTCCTGTCAGTGTTCTAGTCTTCTGAGCTCCCATCAGAACTGTCTGTCCATCAAGTTCTGCTTACAGCATTCTAAGGCTTCTCTAACCAGCATCTCCGATCTTCGCTAACTCCTCCCACAAACCATTTTCAGTGGCTTCTAAGTCACAAGGTGAGGACAGACACAGCAACTCCACTCCCGGTACCAATTTTCTGCATTAGGCACTTTCCCACCACTAGTACAAAGCACTGAACACGTCCTGTCTAAAGGAGGAAAGGTCTATGCTGGCGCATGGTTTCTCAGAGCAGTCAGTCTATGGTCAGCAGGCTCCGAGGCACAAACACGCTATAGGGGCTGGTGGAAGACAGCTGCTCACCACACGGCAGCCAGAAAGCAGAGTGGAGGGCCAAGTGACAGAAATGCACCTATCTTGGCAGGTGTGGGACACACCGGTAATCCCAGCACTCAGGAGACTGAGGCAGGAGGAGCGATCACTGTGAGCTCAAGGCCAGCCTGGGCTACATAATGAGTTCACCTTCAAACTGAATTACAGAGTGAGACCATGTCTCAAAAAAAGAAAATTCCATTCAAGTCATCCCCCCTCTGACCAGGTAAGTCATAAAGAGTACTGACCTCACACTTGCTAAGAATTAGTAAATATTTGTAAAATAATTACAATAGTCTTTGGCACATAATTAGCTTTTAAATCAATTTTAGGGTATTTTGGGGGGGGGTGGTTTTTTGTCTTTTTGAGACAGAGCCTTGCTATGCAGTTCAGGCTGGCCTTGAGCTTAAATTTGCAAAGATCCCAAAGTATTTGCAAAAAATACTACTTTACACATGTAGAACATTCTCCTGAAATAATTCTGTAAAAATCATGATAAAACCAGGGATGATGTGGTATACACCCATAATCCTAGCTACTCAGAAAGCTGAGGCACGAGGATACCAAGTTCAAAGTCAACTGGGCAACTCAGTGAGATGGTATCTAAAAAAAAATTTAAAGGGCTGCAATGAAGTTCAAACCAATGCTTGCCTAGCATGTGTAAGGCCCTGGGTTCAATCTCCAGTAGCAAGTACCCCTTTCCACATCAAACAAACCCCAAATAATAGTTAATGAAGGTATTTTTTTTTTAAATAACTAGTAAGTACATTCATTTGTACTGTTTTCTAAAGAATTCTTTGCCATTCTTCTGACCAAAACTTTACCTTCTATTACTGGCCAGGTAGAGTTACAATGTTAACATAAAGACTAAAGATTCACTCTCTTTTCAAAGAACTTGGTAAGGAAGAGACACTAGTAAATATGCAAATTTTAATGTAATGTGATAAATGCTACAATCAGTACACCTCCAGGAACAACCTACCCCATCCTGCAGAGAGGCAGATATGGGAGGGAAAGGAGAGGAATGAAAGACAGATGGAAACAGGTCAGGTAATACGAGGATAAACATCGAGGAGAATGTGCCCCGCAGTGTATACGTAAACAGGTTCAAGAGTAATTGATGGGCTGGACTGAACGCGCTGGTGCAGCACCATCTAGCATGAGTGAGTACCTGGGATTTGATCCCCAGCACTGATGGCCAAAACAAAAGGAATCAGTAATATTTATCTGATAAAAATGACAAGAATGTCACATTTATTCAGTTTTAATTATGTTACCTTTTATTATTTTACAATATATCTCAAAAAATGTTGTAACATTTGCCTTAACTGCTCTATATGACCTATAATAAAAGAACACTTGGAACACACAAACATCGCGCTGAAATAATCTACCTGTACTGAACCATGACTACCAAAAGGTTGTAGTTTATTAAATAAGCAGATGTGTGGCAATGCAAAATAAAATAACTTGTTAAAACAGAAAGTAAACTTTGCTTTAATGGCTGTAAAAAGGAGGTGGTTTTGTTTGCTTTTTTTTCAACACGTCTGGTTCTGGTAGCAAGTAGCAGTATGCGTTTAAAGCAGTATGTGCCCTGAAAGCATGTATTTTGTTTGTGCGTATTACTTGAACCAGAGACCAGACACATGAAAAACTATTGTTCTCAATACTCTCAGTATCGCTCTCTCTCCCTCCAGACTATCCCAATCTTAGGGAACTCAAGACTCTTTTTGGTGGTAGTATTTTACAATTACTTTTCTCCAGGAACACTGGATGATTTTAATTTTCTCTGAAAGAGAAATGACGAAAACAAAGAAACCCTGCAGGGTCCAACTTTTACTTCACATTGTCCAAGTAGTAAAATAGCAGCTCTATACGGTGATGAAAATGAACTTCAATTTCTAGTAGTTTTTAATCGTGTTAACATTCAAACATATCTGGATATAGCTGGACTTCCAAAACAAAATCTTAATTGCCAAGTATTTTAGAGCTTTAATAATGTATTACGCAGATGTAATTAGCTCTTACCTACCCAAAACACCATCTATATGTATGTATATATACGTGTATGTGTATGTATATTTATTTGTCTTACCTTCACTGGAGTTCTTTCTTTCTGGCAGGACTTGAGAAAAAAGATTAAGTGACCAGCGCTGGCTTTATTTCTTTATAAGCCATAATTTGGGTCTCTTTTTTTTCCCAATATGACTGCAGCATTTTCATCACAAGTTCACAAAAGCCAATACAAAGAAATACCCACTGAGTACGTTTCAGCTGGGCAATTCATATTTTCAAGTTAGACACTACCAGACTGGCACTATGGCATTACAGGCATTCAATTTTTGTTTTCGTATTTTCAAGTTCGTCGGTTCTTTACTACTATTTTTTCCCCCTAGCAGGGTATGTTCTGTAATCTCAATGTAAAGCCAAGAGACCATTTATAATTACTCACAATATCATGGTGGACTTAGTCTCATGAGCTGACATAAACAGTGAACAGTAAACAATTAGAACTACATTTGGTCATATCCAAACAGGCCCAAAACCACTTTACTACTATACATGTTTCCTTTTTCTGACTGAATCTGCATTATTCTTATTAAAATAACAAGATTGCAAAGTTTTTGAGTTGTATTTTTAGATAACTACTACGTTCCAATGAATAAATTTGTTTGCAAACTGTCATTAGTAATGTCCTTTCTATAAACATGGTTGGCAAAATAAAAAAGGCACGAACGGGGAATAACCCAGAAATATTTCCAACATTCAGTGAAGAGTACCAAAGCACGTATTGTTCATTTAGAGGAGCAAACTGTTGGGTAATTCATGCACAACTTGAACTACAAACAAACTCTTCAGAGAGATCCTGAGGCTTGAGAAGAAAATGAGTTTTCCTAATCCCGTGCTTCATATAAAATAAAATGTAAAGCTGCATATACACGTTTGGTTTAACGGTGGACCCGTTTTTTAAAAAAAGTGACGCAATTAAAGGAAAACAAAGCCAAAATACTTTCCCAAGCAAATAAATTCCACCTGTAGTCTCTGTTCTTTTTACCACTTGATGGAATACAATGTCCAAGAAAATGTAAAATGCAGCATACACAATCATGTAATCTAAAAACTTTTCATGATAACTTATTGCAAATTGCACTTGACAGTTCACCACAACAATGGAAAACTGGCCCCTTGTTGGTTCACACAGTCCTTGAGCCCCAAACTGAAGATGAAGTCACCAGTAAAACGATCTGGATAGAAAGTTTGCAGCTGTGCTTAGCCAGCTAGCTCCGCCTTCAGGGTGGGAGCCAACCCGGGACACTGCTTTGTCCTGCTCCTTTGTGGGACTCTCGTCCTCAGGCAGGTAGTCAGGCAGCTCTGTGTTCTCTTCTACTTCCACAGGAGTATCTTGGAATGGGACCAGCATCTGATAGAGAACATGTTAAAAGCTATTACAAAATCAACTAATGTGATATACGAGCACATATATATGTCTTAAATTTTTGCTGTGTTTTCTTTGCAGGGGAGTTGAGTCTTTTGTGTTTGATATAGGATCTCACTATGTAGTTTAGGCTGGTCTTGAACTCACTATGTAGCCCAGGTTGGCCTCAAACTTGTGATCCTCCTGCCTCAGCCTCCTGAGTACTGGAATTGTAGGTAGGCACCACCACACCCGGCTGTCTTAAATTAAAGATCAACTTTATTCCTCATTCTAATTACCTTATTTGTCATTTATTTTTGTTGTGCTGGAGATTAACCCCAGGGCCTTCACACTGAACTTTATACCCAGACATTTTTAAGACATGGTCTTACTTAAGTCATCAAACTGGCCAGGCTAAACTTAAACTTGTGGTCCTCCTGCCTCAGGGTGCCAGAGCACTGGGATAGTAAGTGGAACCACACCTGGCTCCATATTTATTTTTGCCAGGAGCTCTATTTCTTCCGAAATTTTCCTCCTGCATGATAATAGGCGTAAGGCTAACCATGTAAAAATAGGAGAAGCACACATGAAAACACAGATGCTGAACTGCAGAGGCTCTAAGAGTAATGAGCAACGTCTGCCCGTGTAAAAATGACTAAGCCGGTGCCGGGACCCTTTGAGGTCCTGGGGACCCACGGAGCCCAAGTGAGTTTAAGGTACATAAACTGATGCTCCCGATCACAAGCTAGTGGAAAGAGCCGCAGCACGCAAGGATTTCACCACATGCACCAACTGACAGTTGCACACTTACTTTCTGGAGTGCAAGGTCAGGTAAGTCAGGGCAGAAGCATGTAAAAACTCAATGCAAGGGAACTTTTATTTCCACTTAAAACCAGTAAGGTATCTACACTGAATTAAAAGAAGTTTTCTTCACACTAGTGGACTCAAATTCACAAAACACACTGGATTTCTAAAACAGGTGTTAGCCAAGATCACTACATTTATTATACATTTGACAACTACAGATCTACAAATATTAGCAGTCTGCTAGCCACGTGAAGTAATCGAAAGTCTGAATTAAGTACTTAAAAAATGAACTGAAACGTTTACCTCTTCCCCACTTTCACTTTTCACAACTTGCTGAGCTTTCATGACCTTGGTTGATGCTATTGCCGATGCCAACGCCTGGGCAGGGACAAAAGGAACAGTTTTGAACACTGGTTTGTTTACCTGTAACCTCAAGTATATTCAGACACTGAGAATACTAACCTCTGCTTTCAAATCTGAACGGATGCGGACCACACATCTTTGAACAGCCATTTGAAAAGTAAAACTAATAACACCTTTAATTTTTAACAAAGCCTCTTCACATAGATTTCTCCGAGACTGAAAAAGTAAAATCAAACTGTTATTCAAACAGATAAAATAATAAAAGGCAACAAATCAACTTAAGGCACATTAAACTATTCATTACAGTCGTGTCACTTAACAACAGGGATACAGTCTGAGAAATGCATCATTAGGTGACAGGCTGTACTTACACAAATCTAGCTGGTATAGCCTACTACTCTACACATTCAGGCTAAGTGGGGTACCCTATCGTTTTTAGGCTACAAACCTAGGCAGCATGTTATGGACTAAATTCCACAGGAAAGTAACGTATTGCTAAGTACTTACACGTTTAAATATATCTAACTCAGAAAAGGTACAGTAAAAATGCTGGGTGACAGGAATTTTTTTAGTCTCACTAAAGTCTTATGGGACCACAGTTGCATATGTGGCCCAATGTCGACCAAAACATCACTATGTGGTACATATGACTGCATGTTTTGAGGCATAAGGAGCAAACATACTTATTTCAATTCAAGCACTTCGTATTTCAGGGGATGAAGGAGGAATGCTTAGTCAAGTTTATTACTTCTTATATGATCAACAGAATAGTAATTCCTGCTAATTTTTAAAGCTTCAATATTATTATTAAGTTTCAATAATTTTTATCAGAAAAGTTAACCAATGTTAATTTGCATCTTAAATAAAACAGAATACATGAATAATACAGAAAAAGTACTCAAAATCAGAAAAGCAGAGGTTCCTTGTTCAAGGGTATACATACTAGACAGTTCATCAGTTGTTTCAGTAAAATTTTGCTAGAACACAACCATCCCCACTTGCTTACACATTATCAGATATTAGTTGCATGCTAAGGTCAGGTTAGTAACTGTTACAGAGACCATTATGGTCTGCAAAAACTAAAATACTTATCTCTAGCCCTACAAAGAAAAGGCTTACTGGTCTCCGTTAGAGTTTAAAATCTCTAGGGCTATGTCCTAATAGACTAAAGCTGAATTAGTAAGCATTCAGTGTTTTAGTTACCAATTTTTTTTTTTTTGGTACCGGAAATCGAACTCAGGACCTTGTGCCTACCAGACAGGCACTTGTGTCACTGAGCTATATCCCCGGCCCTTAGTTACCAATTCTTAAATTTCAAACTATTTGATACATGTGCTTGCTTTGGCAGCACATATACAAACAACTTGATATGTGTAAATATTACTGCAACTTTCATTTACGGTAAACTCAATCACTTCCACTGCTTTCTCAAGAATCATCAACATCCTTACTTCTTCTGTGATTAGTTCAAACACAACATAACACGTAACCTTTCACATTAGACGCAGGGTGCCACACCATCCTGGTCTCCCACTGACACCACTGAGATTCCATCTGTTTCTTCGCACCTCCAGGGCCTAGTGCCTGTACCTAAGCGACTTTCGGCTTTGGCCCTCATTTCAACCATCACTAATTCCAACAGTGCTGTACTTTCTTATTTTTATTTGTCAGACATACCCACTTGGATATCCAGTGATCATCTCAACATAAGATCCTAAGTGAAAACAGATTTAAAAGTACAGTAACTGCACTTTCTCTTCATTTTCCTTCTACCTGCAGTCCACATATAAAATCACTACCTCTGAGTCTTCCTGTGTCTGTACTGAAGCCTGGTTCTGACTGAGTACTTCAGAGGAGATAAAGACTACAAATGACCCCTATGCAAGTACCTAGAGGACACTCAGTTTTCAAACTTATTCTAACAACCTTCGAGACACCTCATGTCATTCCTCATTTCCCTACTTGTACCACTTCTTGCTGCAGCTTTTCAAGCTACCCAAGGAAGAATCTTGGACACAACCGTCGATGGCAGAACACAGGCCCACACCTGCTTCATCTGGTGCCCAGAGGCAGAGACAGGGCACCTGTCTCTGGACGCCACTCTGCGCAGGGCCGGACTCTGTGAAGTGCCTCTAGGAGACTGGCACCGAACAGTTTCATGCTTCTCTCCCCCGTGAATTCCATACCACCTATACTTAGAAGTGTGTGCAGCACACATAACACGAGCGTTAGAACACTGATAGTTTGATTTGATTCCTTATTTTAAAGGTGAGAAAAACAGAAAAGTAAAGTGTCCATTCTATGTGAAGCATGACATTAAACTGGAACTGTATAAGACAGAAAAGGTTCATAAGGTTATCTTATCTTTATTTTACACAAATTAACGTACTTTTACCACATTTATTGCTTGCTTTCCCAAAAATATAAACTTTTGCATATTTTGGTCACTGCTGTATACCTGGTACCCAAAATTACGCCTAATGCTCATAATAATGCCTAATGCTGTATGTTCTTTTCTATTGTGAAGATTAGAACAGATTAAGCATCTCTAACCCAAAAATCCCAAATGCTTCAAAATCCAAAATTTTTTGAGCACAGGACACTCAAAGTTTCTGATTTCAGAGCATTTTGATTTAGGAATATTCAACTGGTAAAGTATATGCAAATATCAAAACTAAAAAAACTTCAACATCTGAAACATTTCTGGTCCCAAGCATTTCAGATATGAGAATCTCAACCTGTATATTCTACCAGGTGAACTTTTAGATCAATTAATGAAGTTATAAAATCAATCAATTGGCATTGTTTACATATCGATAAGGAAATAACATTGCTACAGCTTTGACGTTTCCCATCTAGAAAGGAGCAATTCATGCCATTTATTCAAGTCTTATATTACTGGAGCTCTTTAACTTACTTATAAGTCCTCCATTTTCTTATTAAAAATACCTTCCCATTCTTCCTAATTTGTTTTATCCTGTTTTACTTCACAGAAATAAAATTGCTTCTCCCCCTTTCCAGAAGTGACTAATTCCCATACACTTAGTATTTGCCTGAGATTTTTTTAAAGTCACATTAATTTTAAGAAATTACAGATGATTCTCCTAAGTTTTCTGTATTTACAATCTTATCAATAGCAAATTACCAAATATTTCACTACATTCAATTATATTTATATTCTCAGGATAAAATTACTACTAGGAAGTTATAAAACGCTTAAAAGTTAAATGCTGAAGCCAAGCTATTCCCATTTCCTCTACCTATGTGACATCTTACAATCCTAAAATTCAATTCCCCTCCTTTAAAAAGAAAATAATGTCCTTGTCTGTGTGTGTTAATGATCAGAGTCAAATGTGAATCAATATACTGTCAAGAGTGCCAGGCTATGTTAAAAAATTTTTAACTAGCATGATAGTGCAGTACTGCAATACAGTTAACTTGCTAATATTTTATTTTGGATTTTGCTTTGGGGTAGGGGAGACTGAGCCCAGAGCCATACATGTTCTAAGCAAGTGCTCTCCCACTGAGCTTCAGGCCACATTCTTCTTTTGGAGTTTGGCAATCAAATTCTTCCTGTATTCCTCTATTTCTGTATGTGCTCTGTTGGGTTTATTACTTGGTTTGTGGTTTTAAAAGAACCATATTATTCTTATATTAAATTCAGGATCTTACAGTCCCAGTTTGAATAAGATTGTTTTTAACTTATTTGGATAAATATGCACATTCATGTATATCCATAAGCATGGATAATATGCAAGGCTTCCCCTCGCATATTTACTAAATCGTAAACCCTCAGTTCTATGTATCTAAAAGCAACAACTAGAAAAGGTTCTACACAATCTAATGTAACATACCGGGCACAGCTAAAGAGATAAGTGGTAAGCCACCAGTGTAAAGCTGCCACCTCTAAATATGTACATAAATATAACTTATCACTGCACAAGGTAACTTCAAGGGGATTTTCAATTCAGTCAGGATGGAGTAACACAAACTGGGATTAAATAACTAAAAATATACTTTAAAAAACAATGATGTCCAGACATTGAAAAACAGGCAACCCTAAAAAAAAAGAAAAAGAAATGAAATGCACTCCATACTGCACCAACGTATTCCTTAGAAAAGTTCCAGGTTGCAACTCACAAAGAGGAAGCTAAAGAGAACCTAGCAGCCTTCCTGAGTTAAGGACAGATGTGAGAATGCAGGGAGGCCAAGGCAACTACAGTTCACGGGGCTCGGCAAATGTGACACACAGCTACACAATGAAGAGGAGCTAGAGACGCCTGCTGTGGAGTAGAGGGTGCCCCTTTGACCAACTGATAACCAGTGGATACTATGTTAGGAAAAATACAAGCTAGGGAAAGAACTACCAGAAAGGAACAGAAAGAACATTTCTGTGAGCTCACAGTGGGCTGGAAATATATCATGTTCCCACCAGAAACTAGAAAAAAAAAGCCCTGAGACACACAAAAGGCTATGGGCAGAAAACTCACCAGGGTATTGCCTCAACATTTCAGGCAAAATTGTCCCTATGTTAAAGGGTACCATGGTCTGGCCTAACAAAGCTTAAAATTAAAGCTTAAAAAGATCCAATAGTTTACAAGTAACTTAGCTGTGATCCACAACAAAGTTCCAAATATTTAAAGGCTGTACAGAAAATATGAGTATTATTCAACAACATAATATTTACAACATATGGCATTCAATCAAAAATTAAAAGGTATGCAAAGAAGCAGGAAAATACAACACACAATTAGAAAAATCAATGAGTAAGAACACACTTAGAAATAACACAGAGACAGAATTAGAAGACAAGGACATTAAACAGTTATTCTAACTGTATTTTATATATTGGAGAAGACAGAAAAAGTGTAAATATGTTAAGGAGACAGAAAAACAGGCCCAACATGGTGGCGCACATCTGTAATCCCAGCACTTAGGAGGCTGAGGCAGGAGGATCACTGCAAGTTTGAGGCCAGCCTGGGCTACAAAGTGAGTTTAAGACCCTTTCTCAAAAAGACCAAAAAAAAACCACAGGCCCAAATCCAACTTTGAGAGAGATAATAAAACAGTGTCTGTCGTGGTGAAAAAAATGCAATGGATGAGATTCACAGCAAATTAAACACTTGCAGATGGAAAAAAAAATTGGGAATATAGCAACAGAAACTATCCAAAATGAAAGAGGGAAAAAAAAGACTGAAAAATGAACAGAACATTGG